GCTGTACCGATTTCATGGCGTGGCGTCTCTCTTGATCGTCTCGACGGAAATCGCTCTATTCTGTCGTATAAAGCGTCACGTAGAATACATTTGACGCGGAAACGTCGTTCAGCTTGTAGCTGAATGCGTTGCACGCACGATTGTTTCTCAATTTATACTCTGTCTCTTTCTCTACCATCGCGTCAGAAATAAATCGCGACACCTTCCACTCAAACGAAAATTTGTTTGAGTGAAAACTCAAACGACCCCGTTGAATTTGACATAGGGTGATTGTGTCTATCCCCATTAATGTGCCTTTTAAATAAGCCAGAAACTAAAGAAAACTAGTACAAATAAATAGAAAAGTATTTTTTTTATTAAACTATTAATGTCTATAGTATCAAAGATGATATTCTATTTTTTAATTATTAAAGTAAACATTTTTTGAAAGATACATATTACGATTTGGAGAAATTTACTCAAATATCTTACTAAAAACCGTAAGAAACATTTACTTAACAGAACAATAAATTGATTATTAACATAATTTACATCATACAGAATGTAAATTATATTACAAATTGATTTAGTGTAACGATAAAATAGCGAAGTAAGTACTTTTGAAACGTTTTACGTTATTTTATGTATGAGTCCAGTAATGTCGCAAGAATTTAAAGTTTGTTCCTGTATTAATGTGCTCTTGCTCTCTTGTATTCAGCCGATTAATCTAATTTTGTTTTTGGTCTCGAGATACGAAAGCATTGTATTATGAATTAAAGTTGTATATTTATAAGTATATTTATAAGTTGTATATTGAAATAATGATTTAAAATAATGATGTATGCAATATTAATTTAAACAATTAGCTTACATTGTTTACTTGTTTCAGTCAAAAGAACACACTACATTATCAAAAGAAAATTTTATTTTCAATGTTAACAGAAAAAGATTCTTGGTATTATAACAATGTACAATAATAAGGCTAATGAGAATCGACGCTGTAAATGGTAAATTATATGTTTAATCTTAACTACATTTATTAATAGAAAGTCCTAAACGTTTCGACTCGAATTTGAGTCATCCTCAGTGGTATAAAACTACAGCAAAGATATATCTCCGAGTCCCAAAAATTTTATTTTCGTTTTATTTTTAAATATAATATATTATAAAGTAATTTACAACTTTATTTATATGAGCTTGTATTATATCTAGCTAATTATTTGCTTGTGGAGTTTACTTGCTATTAACTGATGTGAATATAGTGAATAGGTTAAGATCCATTAATCGCGGGCACATAAATGCGGACAAGCACACAAATTGGAGTCACATTATGGCTATCGCTTTTTGGAGGGGCACACTAATCGGGACAAACAAATTTTCATTTTTAAACATAAAATTCTTTCATTAAAACATAAAATATTTTAACATATTAAAAATATTATAAGAAAAAGAAGTAGTTGAAAAATATTAATATCAAGCAGACAAAATTAAAACTACAGTATTTAATAATTAATTAAAGTTATTACTGCTTATTAGCAATTTTGGCTTAAAGGCAATAATAAGAACAATTCTTCTACGTTTCGCAAGTAGACGCGTCAAACGATCGTTAGCCGCCTATGAGACGTAATTTAGAACGTAATATTTTGTATTTAATCACGACAGCAATCGTGAGAGATCCACTATTTCTCCGCGACCGGTGACATGCATATATCAAAAGTCCACGAAAACGCGTTTGTTCCAAGCTGAGACGTGCCCCTCGCTCTCTCTCTCTCTCAGTATATCCGCATAATAAATCTTCCGGCCGACCGAGTTTCTCGTAATCCAATTAAGATTTTCACGACTCTGTCCTCATCCTTTCACATCAATTATCCTGGCGACTCTGGCGGACCTAAAATTGCGGGTGATTCGCCGCTAAAAGTCGTCGCGGAGCGCCGTGCGCGCGGATTTTCCGCCGACAACGTGGAGCCGACGAGGATCGCTTTTTGCTGAAAGAGCCTTGGGCTTCTTCCTCAGTCGTAGCCCTCGTTAGAAAGGGGTTAAATCGCGCTATATATACACACACGGGAGGGTGGCCAACGGCGGCGGGTGATCGATCGTTAAAGGACTGATGAGGCTCGTCGTTCACTTTCACGCGCACGCACGTTGCCATGCATACACACGTGCACGTCTACATGCAACAGATCGTCACGTATGCTTCATCCACGCAATCCACGTGCGCAAAACGTGGAAACAACAGGAACATTCGCATTTGAAAAAAAAGTGAACTGTGTTCTGAAGCGGAATACTGGGAAGTGAAGGGATACTGGCGCCAAACAAACGTACTTTTTTTGTCGGGACAAGGATGTTAGGCAATTTTAGAAAATATTTTGTTTCGGCATACACAACATGTAGAGTGTTGTAAATCTCTGGTTTAAAAATATGTTTGTTTACTAGAATATTGCTCGCGTGCGTTCGTCAGAATTAAAATCGCCTCCGAATTTTTTAATTACATTATTTCATTATTCGACAGATGTTTATGTGCGTAAATATGAGAGAATTCAGTAAGGAGAATAAATACTTTCAATCAGAATGGCGACATTTCTAATTTAGGAATGGATTTTCTTTTCCTCGCGTGACTCGGAGAATTCCGCTCCAAAGTTCGTATTTTCTCTCGAGCACAGACTTTCTGACGATTTTAGAGTCGATCCTCTAGTGAAATTATGATTGATGTACCTAATCTTTCTTCTTTGCAATGCCAGCAATTTCAATATCAAATATCTCGATATTTGTAGGTGTTTGATAAAAATTTCTCGAAAATCCATTTCAAGATAATTAAGGAAGAGATAGTTGGGATATGAGTACGATTTGCTAGATTTATAAAATCTGTTCAGATTGGAGCGAGTTTTTCAATTTTATTCGTTCGAGGATCGTTTTACCGCTATTTGCTCGGAGAAGATAGTTAAGAGACTTCCGGGACGATCGCGACGGGTTTATATTGATTAAGGTAGTTCGCTCCGTACGGAATTGCTTATACTTGCCTTCGGTGACGAAGACGAAGATCGATGCCGGCTTGGTGTTGGAGGCGCTGCACGTGTAATTGCCCGTGTCCGTCTCCACTGCCTGGCGAATCGTCAACCGACTCTGAGTTGGTCCTGGATCGGTTTGTACGGTCACGCTGCCGCGCGTGGTGTCGTAGTTTATCATCCGGTTATTGTGATACCAGAACACGTATTGCGGCGGCGTCGGGCTCTAGAGCAGATAGAAGAAAAATGGCGCCGGTTGACAAGCATGAGATTTAACGTGCGGATTTTTCCCAGTACAAAGGCGACGACCGGAGAATCGTCGGGCCTGCGGCCCGTGACATTCGTTATGAGGATTTCTTTTAGCGGGATAACGCGTCTTTGTACTGGGCATCATGACCGCCGACAGGATTTTCGCTTTGCGGTTTTCATAGTACTTTTGTTAGCTTATTTTGGACAATTCCATAAGACTTGGTTTCATTTTGATTTAATTTCAACGTTCATCATAAGATCTACGCTTGACATTTGATAATGTAATTAACATTATATTATTTTGTAATATTTTTTTGCACATCTCGTGTTTTTTATTTTTTCTTTCATTTGAAAACAAAATGAAAACATGTAATGTTTTTCTGACGTCCATACTGTCAACATCCGAAAAAATTACATTACTAAGATATCGTATTATATTTATTGAGAATTAAAGATTTTTTGAAATTTTATAAAGTGTTTCAAAATTAGTATATTCTTAAATATTTAATGAGTAAACAATATATATGTATATAAATAAACGAAAAATAAAAGTTTTGACAAAATAATTTTGAAGGATATATATTGAAAAAAAATTTATATTTTAATTATACCAAACTATGTGAAAAATTTAATATTAATATATTAATAAGAGATGACAGCACAAAGTGCCCGTCCAATTAAATTTTAATTGAAAAACCCTGTCGATATCCTGTGAACTATCTAAAAGAAACAATTTTACTTTATCATACAACGGTTTCGAGACACCCTGTATCTGACACGCTTGTACATTTATGCAAGCACATCAGATACATTTTGAAGTAATTAAACGTCAACTTGCAAGAGTTTAATATTTGCTTTTGCGAGCACTGGCTAAGTGTACGAGGGAATTTGGTTGCAAAAACGTGAGTTTACATAATAGGTGAGGTTTCGTTGAATGAGCGTGCGGAATTCAGCTGTAGCTGCGAGCGATGAGGCCCATCAACCGTTTATTATAACGCCGGATACACGTTTACAACCGCCCTGTCGTGTCATAGAATACAGGAATGTTAGGTGCGTGAAACGGTGTGTTGTTAAGGCCGAATACTCGCAAACTTCCACAAAGTCGTCAGGAAATTTGCAATATGCTGAGCAATAACAAAACCACATAAAAGACGCGGAGAATAAAGGTAGCCCTCTAAGTACTCTCTTCAACATATCTTATTTGTTCGCCAACATCGTTACGCTTTACAGACATGTTATTTAAAAAAATGTTTCATGTGCAACAATTTCAGAGATGCACATTTGTGAGTGCATCGTTGAGAAATACATTTATATACTGTTATATACTGTTATATATTTTTTCTTATTTAGAATTTAAACGAAGAAGAGCATCGCGTATACACACGTAACATGGAAAAAGTAACCGATGTAATCTCCGTAAATTGTGTGAGCGATACAAATTTATTTAACGCAACGGTTAGCGGTAAGCTCGTTTCGTTTCGTTACGAGCTGGATTTACGCTATACGATATACTGCTACCAGATTCGGCCTTATAGCGTATAAATTTCCGCCCAATGTAGCCGCGGGATCAGACACGCGGGATACTGCTCGTCATCCGTTTATTGTAACGTCGGATGCGCCCATATTGTGGCGGCGGCGTCGAGCCGCAAAGCGGGCGAAGAATAGACGCGCGAAACCGTAGCGGCGCACGCAGAGGCAGAGCGCGGGATACCCGAGGAGGATTTTCAGCCTCGTGGGTTCCGTCCGGCAAAGCAAGTGCGAGTCAGAGGCTACGCGTTCCTCTGAATGCTGAATACTTGTTCTTGTTTAACTTGGTTTCTCAAACCAAACGAAATGAACGCTCGCCGCTACGTGATTCCCCTAGCGTCCGCACGTGAGGGAGGTATGTCTGTCGAAAAAATGATCGTTACCTCGCGTTATTGTACGCCGTTACGTAGTCAATGGTAAACAAGATACATTTGGTGTACAAAAACATAGAAATCGAAATAGTTTCGAAAAAACGGCACGGGAATGTACGTCATGAATAAACATAAAGTTGTAACTGTAGTTTCGGATGTACTGTAGTTTCGCTTTATAAACTCGAAATTGTGACAAGTAGGACGTATTTAATTAGTAGTTATTTTTCTTGCTTAGTTAAAATTGCTATTTAGTTTAGATTTTTAATTTTAATTTAGATTAATAATACAAATTATTTATGCATAAGTTGTTGCGTTTATCAATATTTTCCTTGTGATTCGTAGAGTCGTAACTTTCCATTTCGTTTTTTTCAATTAAACGTAATGTATTTAAAAATTCCTCTTTTCCTCTTGCAAGATATTCCAGCAAATTATCGTACAATTAACTCAGCTATATGTTGCGAGCTTTTTGAAATATTATCGTCGATTTTATGCCGCTAGAGGCAAATAAATCCCTCTAGAGGTGCTGTTCATGCAATTCACTTTTAGGGATTCATATAAATTATCCCATTGTTCTCGCGAGACGACAAAGTGGAGTTTCAACAAGGCAATGCGCGTTACACGGCAGAAGAAAGCGAATTGTATCAAACAAGTAGTACAAACTATTAACACCACGCTAATTATGCCACTACTTATCCCGGTAGCGGTATGCATAAAGTGCATGCATAATGTAAGACAAGCGATAGTTCCGTCATATGAATGCGAATTACGATGTCAATAAAAACAAACGCAAACATCTGAGATTGAGCAGGTCCACTTTTGCATAAATTTGCATAATACCGCAATGATATTACAAGTATAATTTGTAAACATTATGAAATGATTTATTAATGCTATATTGATTATGAATAAGCCTATATAAATATATGAAATATATGAATTGCGCGTGATAGATGAGATTAATGTATGCGTGTGGATAATAATCAATAGATTTCGCAGCCCAGTTTTGTTGGGTTTATAGAATATTGTACAAATTCAAATAAGTTTAATTTAATCAATACGGCTTTATCCGCATGTCTGAAAACAGATGTTGATTGTTATTTTCAAAAGTTGAATGGACTTATATGTGCCAGCGTAATAATTGTATCACGTTTCTGACAATTAGCGAAAAATATATGATCAAATAATCATACGTCAATCTCTTAATGACATTTATAACATTTTTCATAACACTTTTACAACGATCCGAAAAGCATTTGCGTTTTTTTTTACATAGTTATAATTGATTATGATTAATTTTTCGCTAGATTAATAATATGTTATGAGGATTTTATTGCTCACTTAAAAAATTTAAATATACGTAACGAACGTAATGTAAAATAGAAATGGACGAAATGTGGCAAAATGATAAATTCAAATAAGTTTAATTTAATCAATATCGTTTTATTTGCATATCTGGAAATAGATATTGATTGTTATTTTCAAACGGACTTACATAATAATTGTACGGTCAGCATAAGAATCGTATCACGTTCCTGATAACTAACGAAAAATATATCATCGAATAATCATATATCAATCTCTTAATAACATTCGTAATGTTTTTCATTTTTACAACGATCTGAAAAGTATTTGCGTTCTTTTTATATAATTGATCATGATTTTTTCGCTAGATTAATAACACATTGTGAGAATTTTATTGCTCATTTGAAAAATTTGAATGTACGAGTAACGAACGTAATTTAAAGTAGAAACGGACGAAATGTGACAGACACAAGTCTCAATGGCTGCAACTGGATTAAGCGTCCTCCGACGATGTTCTAGAAACTTTTCTGTCTTCTTTTTGCAAGTGGGCCCCGCGTTCAACAAACTAAGCCGACTGCGTGAATCATGTCGCTCGCAATGCCAGGGGAAAAAGCTTGAAACGGGCGCGGCGGCGAGACGTAAAAGTGGAAACACACGAATCAAGACGGGCAAGTAGTACGAAACGCGACGAGCGCGTCCATTTCTCTCTATCTTCTGTCGAGAAAACGAAGTTTGCTCCTGTCACTTCCTTAACCATTTCTACGGATGCGGAATGCAGTCGGTATGGAATAAATGTAAGGATGGTCGTTCGACCGACGCAAATCTAAACGAGCAGTCCGGTTTTTTGGCGGTATCGCTTTAATTTGCGGTTAATTGCAGCGGACTTTGTGCACCGCTGCAGAAAACTCCACGGTTCAACTCTCACGGTTCGTGAAAGGAATTTTTATGACCGTCCGCTGCAAAACATTTCAGATTCACACATCAACTAAAAGGTCAGTGTGCTATTCCGTTCCTTTCCCTCCTAACTCTTCCCCTCCCCCCTAAAAAAAGTCTCACAATTTCATTTCACATCGGAGTTTCCGTAAAATTCCATACTGTCCATCTGTACCTCGAAGGATCAATTGCCGCGGCGGAGCTGACGTTTCTTTAAGAGAAATACCTTCGAGAATGTCGGATTCCACAGTTTCGGCGCTGTTTTTATATCGGAAATGGTGGAAAAACCTCTTCCTGCGACCTAACTATCGAGGAAATTCTCAAGAAGAGATACCTCAGACGCGCGTGTTTTGGAACTTACGGCGTTCGGACGAAAGTAACGAAAGTTGCCGATTGTAAGAAATCATAACAAACAAATAAATAAAAAAAAACAACAAATAAATAAACAAATAAATAAATACAAATAAACAAACAAATAAATAAAATAATATTTTTAATCAATAGAGCTATCTTACGAAATGGATCTTTTCGAGAAAATTATTCGTTGCAGAAGAGCGCACTTTATACGATGCTACATTTGACGTGATGAAGTATTCAGAAAAAGGACTTTTAATGGCATATCTTATGGCATGCTTGATCTATCTTTCGACGTTGTAAAATTTGTATGTAATTAATCATGGTAATTGCGACGCAAGAATAAACACGATGCTGTAATCATTTCCAGCAATATAATTTATAGTCGTCGTTTCTTAACAAATTCACGATATCGGTTAAACGAGCAGTTTCCAAGTTTTATCATGATTTTATTTGGACTCATTATTGGATAATACTCGAGTGCTTTATA